TCTCCAGTTCTCCCTGGGGCCTCGTGGAGACACCTGCATCGTAGAATAGCTCCATGCCCAATGCCCCTGCCTTCCTGGGCAGAGCTGTGCTGGGCCTTAGCACTGTCGCTGGGCTGAGGCTGCAGCTCTGTCTGGGAGCACCTACCAGCTGTGCACAACGGTGTGGTCACCTCCTGGTGATACCGTGCGGTGGGACCTGGCATCCCCAGAGCTGGTGAAGGGCTCTCTGTGGATTTGCTCCCAAGGGAGAGATGTGCCCAGCAGGAAGCCCTTGGGGGCCCCGGGGTCCTCGCCCCTCCGTCGTTTGGGTCAAATAGTTCGGAGTTAGTTGCTTGCTGCTGTCAGATCCATGGAGACCATCCTGGAGGCGGGACTCGGCCCACATCAGCCTCGTGGGCAAAGGCAGAGAGCAGCTGGCCTGCAGCCACAGCGAGTCTGCCCAGAGCCCACGTGACGGGGGGGTGGGGGGTGCCAGGGTTCTGGCAGCAGGTCCCTTATCCACACTCCAGGCCTCTGCCGGTCACTCTGTGGGTCACAGGTTTGCCTGTGGAGGTCCCGGGTCCTTGGGCTCCCTGCCACCACTGCCGCTGCCACCTCCCGTTGTGACAACACGGATGCTTTTCTTCCAAATGCCGGCCCCGTCCGCCCTCCTCCCTCCCAGGGGACAGTGAGGCCCAGCCAGCTGGAGCATCATAGACAATGACGGGGTCATGTCCCCCGAGCTGCCCGCCCGGGGCCAGTGGGGTCCCTCCTGGGGGGTCCACATGCCGGGGGTGACTGCTCTGCGAGGCCACACTGTGCATCCTGGGCTGGCCCCTACTCTGAAGGCGCAGGCCGGTGTGGTCACAGCTTGGGGCTGTGTGCTGGTCTGCCGTCCCCTGGTCCCAGGTCACCTGGAGGGACCTTGTTAGTGTCCATTCTGAAGGCTGAGCCTGAGAACCAGGTGGGCCTGGAGAGTCCTCAGTGTGACCTGACCACAGGTCACTGCTCCTAGGACCCCTCCATTGGCTGATGCTAGGTAGACCCCAGCACCCGCAGCCCTCCACTAATGGGGTCCTCAACACCTTCCCTTCTGGGCCGTTGGGGGAGGAGGGAAAGGTGCTATGAGGAAGACCACAGCCACGGATGGGTGTTAGCCTTGGGGCCAGGCCGGACCGAGTCGCTCCTCCTGGCAGAGTGGCCTTCGGGTGGAGCCTGGCCAGTGCCTGCCAGTGAGGTGGCAGCAAGGTCAGAAGGGTGCACACCAGCCCTCACAAGCTATTGCCGCTGCTGGGTCCTGTGGCTCTGCCCCCATCTTCTCCTTGCGCCCCAGGATCCTCCTCTGCCCACCTCAGGCTGGGCCCTTGACCCCTGCAGCGCTCTGCTCCCCGCAGGACCCCTTCCCACCTGGAGACCCAGCTGCTGGCACCCAGCCTACAGGCCTACCCCAGCCGTCCGATCAGCCCACAGGCCCACCTCAGCCATCAGATCAGCCCACAGGCCCACCCCAGCCATCGGACCAGTTGCCCTGCCTGGTGCCTGGCTTCTCTGCCAGCAGAGCACAGGCCCTGCCCTGGGTTCCCAAACCTGAATGCGTTCCTCGCCGCAGGCCCTTGAGCTGTGTGCAGTGGGCAGCCCTGGCTGCCGTGCTCGCCGTACACTGTCACATCCCAGTGCGTCCTCGGTGCTATGCTCGTTGAGAGAACTGGTGCCTGGCAGGTACCAGGTGTGCAGAGGATGCGGCGGTCACCCAGAGGAGCACCAGGGCCATGCACATCCCCCACTGCAGCGGCTGCTGCTACCACAGAGTGGGAAGCAGGAGAGGTCAGGCCGATCCGCGAGACCCTCGGCCTTTCCTGACCAAATCCCCAAGCGTCTGCCTGTCTACGGGATCATCCCTTCCCCTCCTACCTCTCTTTTAAAAGTCAGTCCTGACTCCCAGGCCCCTGCCTGCACCCCACCGTACATGCCCAGTGCCTGGCACTCGGTGCTGGCTCAGTGAGGAGGAAGAGGTGCGGGGCGATGGCTGGCTCTGCTGTGGTGCCCCCAGGGTGAGGTCTCCCTCGGAACACAGCAGTGAGAGAGAAATCTGCACACATCAGCCAGGTCTTGATTAAACAGCTTATTTGACTCGCGTCCCGGCCGTAGGTCACGTCATGTGTCTTGACAGAGATGCTTCCCCATTACCTGCCAGCATCTTCCTGCGGAGTGTGGCCGTTCCTCTCGCTGTCCATCCACACATGCTGTCTGTCCGGGAGGCCACAACACGGCCCACTGTGGTGCCACTTTCGTGTCCACTGCTGCCCTGAGCCACGCTGAGCGCGGCCCTTGGTTTCCAGCCGTGGACTCGGGAATCTGCAGCCCAGGGCACGTCAGTGGAATTGCATGGACTTCTAACCTCCCTCCTCCACTGAAAAGCAGAACATGGTCTGCTCCGATGACCCACTGTCCCTCCCAGACACACGCCACGTGCTAGGAAACAGTTTGCTTGTCAGACGGCTGATGCCCGTGGGAGCTGCTCAGTCACTGGTGCCAGAGGCAAGCAGCTTGGCTGCACCTGTCCCAGCCCACCCTGGCTCAAGGTTTGAGGGATCCCTGCACACAGTGGCCCAGTCTCCTGGCTGCTGGAGCCCCTGGCACAGTCCTCAGATGAACCCCTTGGCCTGCAGCACCCCCTCTGGGAATATTAGAGGCATACCTCCCCCTTCCCGAATCAGGGAGCCCGGGGGTGGGGGCGGGGGGGCGGCAGCAGAGAGAGAATTGTGGTTACTGTGAAATCCTCGCCCTTCTTGAGCGTGTGAGTCTGCGTCAACCCCCTGGCTCTGTCTGTTTTCTCTCGCCTTTCAGGTGTTGGTTCTGCTCTTCCCCGTGTCAGGGTTTCTATAGGGATTCTGGGCATTGTGGCTCTCCCTTCTCCCAGGGCAGGCCCTCCCTCTCATCCCCAGCAGAGAGTGGGGTGTTAAAAGGGGCTTTCCTCCATGAAATTAGTGGCTGTCCAGATGTGAGGCTGGCTAAGGTGTTTTAAGGACACTCACCTGCCCCACAAAGAAGAGGGGTACATGAAAACGGGGTACATGAGGCATGCCAGCTATGCATCTCGGGGGTCCAGAGCGGGTGGCTTCACCTCCTCCACAGGATGCTTAAAGGCCCAGTAGTCCTTCAGCGTTCAGCCAGTGCCCTGCACCATGCTGAGTACCAGGGACACTGCTAGGCACAGGCAGACAAGGCCCCCCACAGCCCCCAGTTAGGGGCTCCAGGACACGGGCAGATGAGGCCCCTCACGCCGCGATCAGGGGCTCCAGGACACACCTTCCCTCCTCTTCTCACTGCAGGGCATTGATTTCTGCCCTGGGCAGAACGTTTCCGGGGTCACGACTCACAGCCTGGAAGACCACACGAAGCTGCCCCTGATCTTCCACCTGGGACGGGACCCGGGGGAGAGGTTCCCCCTGAGGTAAGTCGGTGCAGGGCCTCCTGACTGCTGGGGCGGTGCCAGCCGGACTCCCCCAAACGCAGGCTCCACAGGGACGGAGCCCCTCTGCACCCTGCCCGCCGCCTCCCCGTGCCTGTGTCTCCTCTTGCTGTTCGTGCCCACACATGCTTGGTGGCCTGCCCTCCTCTCAGGGTGCCTGCTCCTGTCCACCCTGGTGGTCTCCCCACTTCTGTGCCTTCTGGGCCACCGTCCACCCGGCCCCCAGTGATGTGTCCCCGACTCTGAACTGCCTTTGGGGATGGCTGAGGCCAGAGGGGAGGTGTCCAGGCCCTGGGGCCAGCAGGAGGTGCAAGGACACAGGTCAGCTAGCAGGAGGAATGGCAGAAAGCCGCCAGCCCCAGCTCCACCCTCTGCTCTCTGGGCCTTGTCCTCACCCCATCGAGGATGCCGGAGCCTGTGCCATTGCCTGCCAGCTTTCAGGGAAGCCCTCCCCTTACCCTTGGGAGTCTCGAGAGTCATGGTCGCCAGTACCAAGCCCACGTGCCCTCTGGCAGCTCCTTAGGGGTGACACAGAGGCCCCAACACTTGGCTGGAGGAAGGCCCAACACTCTGGCTTCCTTTTTTTTTTTGCCCAAAGCTGTCTCCCTGGGCTAGGCCTGGCTGGAGGCTTCTCCACCTCACCCCAGCAGGATGAGCAGGTCCCCAGTTCCTGCTGCTGGTCTGGGGTTCTGGGGCACATGCGTTTCCAGTGGTCTCCAGCATTCCTGCCCTATCGGGTTGGTCCTGGGAAGACCCAGGAGCGTCAGGGGAGTGGCTGTGCAGAGGCAGAGCCAGGCCTGAGCACAGCAGTTGCTCTCTGCCCAGGCTGTTCTCTGCTTACCAATCGGCCTGGGTTTGTGTAGGGCCAGTGGGAGGCAGCAGAGAGCAGTACAGGACCGAGGGTGGCAGCACCACTGCCAAGGTCGCTCGAGGCTCCTGCACCCTCTGGACGGGGCAACCACCTTGCCACGGGGCTGAGCCTGCGCTGAGGTTCCTGGGCTGGAGCCCCTCCCATGGCCTCAGGGACCATTTGGGCACTTCCTCAGCAGCACCTCTCCTCCACCAAGTGTGCAGCTCAGAAGCCCAGGATGGTGACTACGGGAAGGCAGCACGGAGCCTGGAGTGGACAGAGTGGTGTCCCCAGGCCCAGGTCCACCCACACCTCCCAGCTCCATCAGGAGGGGAGCTGGCTTACCTGGTAACCCCATCTCTAGCTTTGTGAGGAGCTGCCACACCGCCTTCTACAGTGGCTGCTCCAGTCCGCGTCCCCACCAGCAGCAATGCGGCTCCCGGCCTGGGCACTGACAAGCTCCAGCTTCAGCCTCACACTCGTGGAAGTTCCTCCCTGCATCTCCACGATGACAGTGGGGGCAGGTGTCTGTTCAGGTGCATGTTGGCGATATTAGAAGTGATTGAAAATGGTGAAAAAGCATCATCTCTGCAGATGTCCTCAGAGCCCGGCACGACAGCGCCATGGACCCTAGATTCACAGCATCGCAAACTGCGGCCCTCACGGCACCTCATCAAGTTGTGTAATCGTATCTTCGTGAAAACGAAAGGAATCCAAACACTCCACGTGTTTGCATTGGAATTTTAAAACCACAGATGCTATTCCTCTCCATTTCCCGCTTTTATTGGGCAATGGGATGACATTGCTTTTGTAATGAAACAAGTTTGTGTCGTATTTGTAAATGTTTACGTAGTAGCAAGTACTGGGGAGACCCACACACAAGTCCCAGCCCACACGTCCCAGGTCCTGGTCACAGGCAGGTCACCCTAGTGGGGACAGGACGGGACGGTTCTGCTCACAGCCTCTCTGCCAGGGCTTGGCCTCCCGAGCCTCCATTTCTTCCTTTGCCCGTGAGTCTGAGGGCAGAGAATGGCTCAGGTGCCTGCTGCCTGTCCTAGCGAGGCCTGGGGCCGCTGTAGGCTTGAGCACGTGGTCCACAGTGACTGCCCACTGTGGTTCTCGGCCCATTAGACCCCTGAAGCCTCAGCCTTCCCAGGCCAGCCCCTCCCTATCCTTCACTGTCGGCCCCAGGCGCACCCCTGCAGCCACAGCCATGTGATCAGAGCTCTTTGTCCCCAGCTTTGCCAGCGCTGAGTACCAGGAGGCCCTCAGCAGGATCACTTCGGTCGTCCAGCAGCACCAGGAGGCCTTGGTCCCCGGGCAGCCCCAGCTCAACGTGTGCAACTGGGCAGTGATGGTAAGTGGCTGGTATGCAGGCAGCCATCTCTGTGCCGGGGCCGCAGCCACCCACCTGGGGCCCCAGGATGAACCGTGGCCAGCACAGGGCGGGCGTAGGGGCTCTTTTTTTTTTTTTTTTTTTGAGACGG